TATAAAGTAATTTGAAAACCTTGTGTGAGATGTAATTTCACAAATGGCGTGAGTGAATCACCGTGCGCGCTCTCTCTTTCTCAAAATACGCAAATGGCTTCAAATCACCACACATCGCGTCTGTCTAAGCGAGCTGCACGCTGCAGTTGACACAGGAATTGTCACTTGCACAATCGAGGCAGTGTCACATCGTCACTAAAGTTTATAAATTGCATCACTTTTTAATTCTTGCCTGTGTTTAACCATTCAGCACTCACGCGCTCTCCTGGAGACCGGGCGCTCATGCAAACTCACAACGCACACACATAATGCCAAGTTCACATTATTCCGTTTGCAGTGCATACGTGGTGCGTATTTTTTCTGTGCTCATGTTAACAGATTACAGCGTTCACTGCACACGGTTGCGGTCTGGCAGTGAGTTCCAGGAGCGGTGCGTGCTGCTTCCCCTCTCACAAGAGTCACATAAGAGGGGAATTCCCCCCATTTTCAAAAATGAAATTCAGGCCCTGAATAAATGTCTAAAAATCCTGATTGGAGTATCACCATAAATAGTTATCAATTATAAAAAGAAGGCTTTAAAAAGATCGGTATCGGTGATCGGTATCGGCAGATACTGCTGTCTGTGATCGGTGATCGCCCTCAAAAATCCTGATCGGAGCACTCCTCGCTTTTCAGACCGATGAGCTTTGTAAAAATCGACGCGTTTCAGAAAGGCGGGGCATAGAGGAGAAACAATAATGTGGAAAATAATATGTTTTTTGAACCTTAAACCGCATAAACACATTTCATTACACCAAATACAAAATAATGTTATTTTTAGCAACATCATACGACCCCTTTAAATCCATTACAGCATTCAAAACGTTGGGAACAAGTAGAACACTTCAACAATATTACTGTAGGCCTACTATTAATACAGAAGTCCGTTGGTTTCATTTTACAGTAAATACAGTCGATAACTGAGGTTCAAGATGATAACAGTTGCATTTGAATGAGAGAGTGTGCCGCGATGTAAATGAAGCGCCAGCCTCAAATACCCGGATGAGCGGTATGGCATTTGCTGATGCTAATCGGGAATAACACATAATGTTGCGGCTGACCAATCAGAATCAAGTTATCCATAGAGCTGTGTAATAGCATAATCAAATAGCCTGCAGTGATGTAAAAAGAAGGGAATTGTAATAAATAAGTATATTATATTATATTATAAACCGTTTTTTCTTTAGAATAGCATGCACCATACTAGAAATGTTCATTAAGAAAGTAAATATACCTCTTTTTATGTTGATCTGATTTATATTGATTATAATCGTCTTTTTCGATATATGTATGAAAAGCATTCTGTTACAGCATGAAGAAACCACATCCTGTGTTTCCATTAGATGCAGTCTTGTGCTGTGCTTGCTTGAGCAACTTCTGTAGCCTCTGCATCTGTGCATCTCATATTGCTATCTGACATCTGACTTGTCCTTGTCCTTGTCCTCTACAGGTATTTCCTGACCAGTTTCTATACAAAGTATGACAGGGTCCACTTCATCATCAACACCATTTCCCTGCTCACTGTGCTTATCCCCAAACTGCCTCAGTTCCACGGGGTCCGTCTCTTTGGAATTAATAAGTACTGACGAGGCTTTGATCTTCAACACGAGGATGTGTGGCCACTTACTCTGTGGGAATAAAAAAGGGGGAAATTTAGAGCTTCATTGGATGCTCTGCTGCTTTGCGGTCAAAGTGGCCGAACAATCTGCTATGGTATCACTTTTATGTTTTTTTGTATAACATTCAGTAGATACAAACACATTTGTAGAACCACCAGCAGAATGCAGTAAAAGAAGGTCTCTTGATATGTTAGGACCACTGTTATGCTCTGTATTGAAACAGAGTGTTGGTTAACAGCATTATGTATGCCATTGGGAACCATGTGTTAGATTTCAGTCACTTTGGCAGAAATGCTGCATTGATGCAATGAATCAGATGGGTCAAAATAGGCTGATTCTTAACTGTTTTGCGGGCCTGAGTCAGCACTTCCCAATGTTCAACACAAGGTGTTTAGAAAGAGAAAAAAGGTACTGTGTTTCTGAAGAAAGTGTACTAGACTATTTTTAGCACAGGTACAAAAGACTGGCTTCAGTCCCATAGTTGGACAGTGTCATCCTGTCCTGATAAAACTTTTGCCAGACCTGTATTGCATGACTTTAGATTTAAAACAAAACTAGTTAAATTTTATATATGCACAACCTGTTAAAATGTTTTATATGTCATAGTGTTTTTTCCAGAGCCCTAACAGTCTCAAACAGTCTCGCTCTTTTATAACATGCACTAAATATTGAGTAACAAAAAAGCTAGTTGGATGCATGTAAAAACCTAGAAGAGTGGCTTCTGATGTGGAGAACAGGTGCAAGGGAATATTGGATTAGATCATTTTTCCCCTAAGAGAGAAACTGCAGTTTAACTGTACATATGACCTTTGGACCCTAATATGTCTCATTGGACTCTTGTGTACAACTCCTGCACTTCATGTCCAGGTCTGAGTGAGGATAGATTAAATGTTAATGCAGTTTACTAAGGTACAGAATATTTATGTGAAGCATCATGAAGATGTGTAAGTGCTTATCATTGTTTTTGGCCAATCACAATGTCTGTCTCACAAAGGCAGTAACTGAAACAGATTTTTTTTAAATTTGCTAATTAAAGCAAACCTGTTTGTCACAGTACAGATCTACAGATTTTAGTTTTGACCAAATATGTAGTTTGGTCTACATGCATTTTGCCTGTGAACAGCAGTATGGACTGATGACAGGCCTTGTGATATGCATTTTGCATGACAGTACTATAATGAGCATAATTTCTAATAATGAGTAATTGTCTTAATTTTTGTACCAAAAAGTTATATTGGAATGACGTATGGACTGTGACTAACCCTGCAGACATATTCCTAGTACTTACAAAGCAAGATTATCAAAAGGT